AAACTCATTACCAGCAGATCTGCACTACAAAAAATGTTAAGGGGCATCATTCAGTCAAAAGGAAATGATACCAGATGGAAATCTGGATCTACACAAAGGAGTAAAGAGCACCTGAAATGACAGGTACTTGGGTAAATATATAAGATTATTTTCTTGTTGCAATCCCTGTAAGAGATAATCAACTGTTTAGACAAAAATAATAACACTGTATCTTGGGATCTATAACATGTTAGAGTAAAATGCATGACAGCAATAGCATAAAGTCTGGAAGGGGAGAAATGGCAATATGTTACTGCCATTTTCTTACACATGAAGTAGTATGGTGTCGTTTGAATTCAACCGATAAGTTCAAGATGAATACTGTAAAGCCTAAAGCAACCACCCAAAGAGTTACAGCTAATAATCTAACAAAGGAGACAAAATGGAATCATAAAAAAACTTGATTAATCCAAGAAAAGGCAGAAAAAGAAGAAAACTCGGAAAAGAATAGATGAGAGAAATAGAAAACAAATGGGAAGATGGTTGACTCATTCAAACCTAACTATCAATTAACTAAATGTAAATGTTATAAATACCTCTAATTAAAAGGCAGAGGTCATCAGATTGGATAAAAAAGCAAGACCCAATTATATACTTCATACAAGAAACACACATAAAAAATAAAGACACAAATTGGTTAAAAGGAAAGGAATGGAAAAAGATATACCAAGGTAACACTTGTCATAAGACAATGGGAATGGCAATAATCAGACGGAATAAATTAGAGCAAAGAGTATTCCCAGGGATAAGGAAGGTAATTTCCTAATGATAAAAGAGACAGCTAATCAAGAGGATATAATAATCCTGAATGTTGCTTCAGAGCTTCAAAATATATGAAGCAAAAACTAATGGAACTGAAAGCAGAAATATACACACAATTATAATAGAAGATTCCATTACTGCTCTCTGAATGATTGATAGAACAAATAAGCAGAAAATCATCAAAGATATACGAGATTTGCGCAGCCCTACCAACCAACTAGACCTAATTGATATTTATAGACCACTCCACCTAGCAACAGCAGAAAACATTCTTCTCAAGTGCACACGAAACATTTCCAAGACAGACCACATTCTGGACCATAAAGACAATTCTCAACAAATTCAAAAGGATTCAAGTCACACACAGTATGCCCTTTGATCACAATGGAATTAAAGTAGGTATAACGGAAAAAGAGTTAGGAAAATCCCCCACATATTGGAAACTAAATAATACCCTTCAAAATAACCCATCGATCAAAGAAATCAAAGTAGAAATTAGAAAATATTTTGAACTGAATGAAAGTGAAAACAGCATATCAGAATTTGTAGAATACTGCTAAGCTGCTAAACAGCAACAAGAAAATAAACCCAAAATAAGCAGAAGAAAGGAAATAATAAAGATCTCAGCGAAAATCAATGAATTTGAAACCAGCAACTAGAGCAGAAAAAAAATCAAGAGCTGATTCTTTGAGATCAGCCTGAGCAGGAGAAAAAAAGAGAAGGTGCCAATTACCAGTATCAGGAAAGGGAGAGGTGCCAGACTAGTCAAAACATTGATGTTTCTCTGGGGAGGGGTTTTTGGGGAGCTGCAGACTCATTCTGGTCCCTCCCTCAGGCTGCCAGACGGTTTTGGTTGCAGGGCAATTGGGCTTTTGAGGCCACTGTGGACCTGAGGAGGACAAGTGGGAATTACAAGTGAAAATGCCACAGAGCTCACTGTTCTTCCTGAGTTTTAGCTAATTTTCTCGAATTGTTGCAAACATTTGATTCACTTTCAGAGTTCTGTAAAAGTTGATTTTGACAGTTTTTACCAGAGTTCTGTTGTCATGCTATCAAGACAGCCCCTCTCTTTGTTACATCAATTTTACAACCCTTCTCCTTTCCAACCTCCACCGAGACTGAAATGCTATAATTATTGCTGGTCTTCAGTGAACATGTATTTTTCCGGCTGCTGTTGAGATAGAGTCAGATGGCAAGGGGACTTGCTGAGTGGCCTGCGTATCGTGAGACCCCATTCCAAGGTCAGAACGAGAACTGAGCAACTTGTCTGTTTTGTTTGCTCTTTTCTCGTGTCCTAGGTGGACAATCAGCTCATTGGTACCACTCAGCCGTTCATGCTCTATGTGACTCCGCTGAGCACTGAGAATGAGGTCGTCGAGACAGGCCCGGCCGTGCAAGTGAGTGCGGTGAAGCTCCCCAGTAAGAGCGCGCTGACCAACATCTACAAGGTAGGCTGCTGGGGCCCGCGAGCCGGAGGCTGTTCTCTCACAGCCGAGTGTCAGCGCAGCGGTGCCGGGTGCAGAGGGAAATCGCCCTGTGGGCTCAAGTCCCATGTGACTTACTAAATTGGGTCGAGGAATTGACAGGAACTCCTCCTAGCGCCTTGTATTCTCAACGGTGTGGTTCACTGACCTTGCAGG